AATTTTATTTAAAATTATTTTAAGTAGTAAAATTATAAACATATACACGTTTTCTCACCTGACTTTAACTTTTTAAAAATCATATTAAAATTCTCAAAGAATTATTTTGAAGTTTTTTTTTAATATTCTTATAGAAAAACAAAAATATTCTATTATTAATTTAGTATATAGGGTCTCGAGACAGGCAATATTTTTCTGGTAATTGAGTTAGCTGTTTATAAAAATCGACTCGAATCGAGGTTTACCAATACTAATCAGGGATCATGCTAGACTTAAATAACAAACTGCAATAAAATCAAAACTACACCATAATTTTTAATTAGTAATATTACATTTTGTTCCGAAAATTTATTTCTATTCCACATCATACAAAAAAAATGTATGATACTTTTACCACAAGTGATTAATTTTTAATAAATTATTTTTGAACCTGAGAAGGTTGTGTCTATACATGAGCGGGCCTAAAATATTTATTAATTTTTTTACAATAAGATAATAGGTTATCTTATATATATTAAAATTGATATGTAAATTCTGAAAACTAGCCAATAAGATCTAAAATTTTACACACTTATTTTATCAACATTGGTGAGAATAAATATTAATTTTATAAATATTACTCAATTAGTTTAAAAATAGAAGTAGTTAAATATTTATTCTGGAGGTATTAAAAAATTTAGTAACTTTCCTTTATAATTATTTTGTAACTATCATTTAAAAAATATTAGAAAATATATTTTATTAAATCAAAATTGAATCCATCTATTTTTGAATAAACATTCAGGATAAAACATTTACCTTATGACATTGGCGTACTAAGCGGGGGGGGGCAGGGGGACAAATCCCTCCCCCCCCCCAAGCCAAAAAATGCAGATGCCAGATATATTTTTCAAAAATATATATTAATTTATATTTGTTAATATATATTCGTATTTCATATTAAATATATATTTTATTACATTTATTATCACATTCATAAGTTATTTTATCAATTAATTTCGATTTCAAGTTTTCCGGCGTATTATTTACTTATTATTCTCAAATTTTTAGTGGCGTAATATTTATCTACCATCAAATTTCTAGTCAAATAATAATTATTTCTGAAACTTCTGGTCCAATAGGAAAAAAGAAATTGCAACCTTGTCCAACGAGATAGAACCTCTTCCATCAAGCACTAACAGCTATTAAGGAGTTAGAAGAGCCAATTATTTGCTATTACTGAAATATCACAATGGCCTGAAAGAAATATTTCCTCAGAAGCAAGAAAATTATTAGATTCAATGCTTATTCCAAATTTTATTTCTCATTAGAATGTATAATTTAATTATGCAACTATTTTAAGTATTACTTTTCAAAAACATGACATTGATTTGATTAAGAAGATGAATAGCGGAGAGCATTTTATCAGAACTCAAGGAAATTAGGGCTAATGTTGATGAAGAATTTCATATTTTATATTTTATTGTTGAGTCAAAAGCAGAGCTATAGTGTTTAATATTTGTCTCCCTCGACTTGTAGCAAGGCAAGCTCATTGTTAAAACATTAATATAGGATCAGTAGAAGAGTATATATCTTAGCTGCAGATACATTTATAACCCAAATAAATGAATTTTTAATTCATCATGCAGCACTTACATCTGCAAATATTACTTCCACAAAAGCCTCTTTTTTAAGAAGAATAACAGAGGGCTGCAGAAGTACCATATGCAGGGCACGGCCCTGATTTTTTTAAATAATTTTTTACGCCGGCTCGGATATTTTTTAAAAAATTTCAGGCTCGGCCCGGCTTTTTTTAAAATAAAATTTTCAGGCCCGGCCCGGATTTTTTAAAATAAATTATATTTTTTTTTGATTTTTATAGCTAATAATAACGATTTCAAATATAGGCTGTTTTAAAAAATACAGCCCAGCCTGGGTGTTTTTTAAAAAATAATTCAGGCCCGGCTTGGGTGTTTTTTTAAAAAAATTCAGGTCCGGCCCGGGTGTTTTTTTAAAAAAATTTCGGGCCCTACCGGATATATTTAAAAAAATTAAAATACTGTCCACCCCAGGGGCCGGGCCTGCAGGTCTTTGAAAAACATACCAAGAAGTACAACATGTGAAAGTATATTGAAATGTTTGGATCTTTTGAATATTCATAGGCATTTGACGACAAGCAAGGATGAGATAATTAAAAAATTAGCTCAATCCCAACGAAGATTGGATTTTACATTGTAAATATAACATACAAAATACAATTATTCCTAAGAAACTTTTTGTGTAAAGGTTCAAAAAATTCAAATTTCTATTTTGGGTCATTTAAGTGATTCTTTACATATGATTTTTTTTATAATTCACATTAATTTAAAATTGTGTATTAGGAATAGTTATTAGTCCTGATAAATTTATGCTTGATATTTTTAAAAAACAATAATATTTCTTAAAAAAATTTATTATCCCCCCCCCATACCAAATTCCTGCGTCACACGCCTGCCTTATGATGAATATACATAGAAAAATTAATCTTCCTCTTTTACTAATATGCAATGAGTTTTACTTCATTAATATTGGGAATATCCCTATTGTTATCTTTTAATGATCAAAGTAGTGGCAAAATCTCATGTATAATAATCATGAAGGTGCCTGCTATCATAATTAGATAATGTGTTGGAAAATCGAAGATACAGATCTATTCAGATTTATGTTCTATAACGTTTACTAACTGGGGTAACATTTATGCGCTAAAGAGTTAAATTTTTATATATGATCAAATACTAAAAAATATATAGAGGCGGAAATGAATAATATTGATATATATTTTGGGTAAATATAAATTAACCATTAGAGTTTAATATCCTAAAAAATCCAAGGGTTCGCAAGAACCTCCCCCCCCCCCTCCCGTATCCCCTACTAAATAAATATTAAACTCTTTCTAGCGTGAAATCTTTTTTTTTCTATCTTATAATTATAATTATTTCAGCATTATTTTATAATTATACTATTTATTTTCTGAATCAACCTGTCACACTGTCCTGCCTAACTAACATTAGATATTATATATTATTATTATAGAAAAAAGGCAAAATATATATGTTTTTAAATATAATAAAAACCTTAAAAAAATTAAATTATATATTTAAAAAAATGTTTAAATAAAAACAGAAAATATCCACTTGAAAAATTTTCTTTATCACAATAAAACGTATTTATTATTATTATTATGTAACTGGCGTCAACTTCTTAATCAACTCGTCTAACCCTTAATAATGTATTATATTATTATACGTGTTTTTGTTTTAATTATCTCATTTACCTTTATTAGACACAATACACATAATATAATATTATAAATATAAAGAGAAGTAACAGTAAAAATAAAGGTAAAAGTAAAATTACATTTAAAAAAAATTAAATAAGTGGCCCTTTTGTTATTTAAATTGTATTCACTGGTGTATCACAATAGTTCTAATAATATATGTTTGTTTTTGGTATCTCTTAAAAGTAAAAGAAGAAAATAGAAAAAAGTAAGCTTATTACATCACTATGATTTAAGGAACAAATTTTTGATATTTTTTTAAAAACTTATATACACTTATTTATGAGATATTTGTTGTCACGATCAAAAGTCATGGGTTTTTTTCTTTCCTTCAAAACTTATACTAATAAAAACACTTCTTTAGTTTAAAAAATATATATTATATTATATATATATATATATATATATACTTTAATTTATTAAAAAATTGTAGTTTAGGTTCAATTCTCTATAAAAGCTTCTTAAAATATTAAATTCTTTTTAAAATAAATATTTTTATTTTAATGCACTTATATGCAATATATACTTATTTAGTTTAAGCATTTAAATTATAGCAAGGTTATAATAAAATGCATATCTCATAAAAAATTATCCAATTCTAAAATAGCTTGCCAAATATATATAAACTAATATTATTTATATTAGTTAATTCCACAATCCTAGAATTGTAACATTCTTTTTCAGATATTTATTTAATAAAATAATTCGTCGCAAATCACATTTTTAAAGTTATGTTAAGGAGGTATATTGGCATTGGCTTAGGTGAATGTAAAAGTCCCTATTTGTATATCTCTGCGCAAATACAAAATCTATACAGTAAACAAACAGAAACCTAGTTGATGGACAAAAATATGCTTCAGAAGAGACTTATTTAATTTAAACATGAAATATTTAATAGGCCAGCAAACTTAAATCAATCATATTTTTTAAACCTTTTTACATGTTAAGGGATAAACTCTAAAATTTGTAAAAATTCTGTTGGAAGGATTGTATTCTGAAAACCTGGTTTCCAAATGTGTTACCTCTTTATTTTTAGTCTGTCCTCTTTAATAGAAGATAAATCTTTTTTATGTATAATATATTCATATTTTTATAATATTAATAATACTAAATTTATTTGCAAAATTCTAAACATGTCCATCATATTTATGATATACAAAAAAAACATAACATTATATTTTTTTGTGACTCGAAAGATATTATATTCTACTAAAGTTAATAAAAAATTTATAAAATATGCTTTTCATTTTGACATTTTTTTTATAATATATTTTTTATTTCCCAAATTATTTTTCCATTTTTTTTAAAAAAAAGAGAAAACTTATATAATAATAATTTATTCATAAAATGGTAATAAATAATATAAAATTATATTAAATATTATAAAGGTGTTTAATATATCATTAATAAATATATTAATTGAAGTTTAGTTGTAAAAAAATATAATAAATATTAAACCAGATTTTATTTTTGTCATAATTAAAATATGGAATTTTGTTTGTAAAGTGAATTTTATGTATTGTTGTATATAATTAAAACAATTAAAAAATAATAATAAATTTTTTTAACTTAGTAAGCTTTAAAAATAATTGAAAGTAATATTAAAATAAAATTCCATTCGGGTCAAATATAAAGCTGGCTAATTTAAAATTACATTTAAAAAACTTATATTTATAAAAAATACAATAATTATAAAAAAATTTAGACATAAATGGGGTTACAAATAGTTGTGTCCCCTAACATTTTAAACAAAGCAAAAAAGGAGAAATGAACATAGGAATGATGAATAATCAAAGTCTGTACGAACCAATCGTTGTTCAAAGTATAGAAAATAATCCGACGCTCTCGTTAGACAATAAATACGGTCAACAACCAGCGAAAGATGTGTCCATTAATAATATTAATAATAACTTCGGTAATATCAAGTTCAAAAGTGATCCGATCATCTTGCAAAACGATAATTTCATGCAATACCCTTATCAAAATTACGGCAGTTCGACCAATTCTTTCGACTATAATTCCTACGGTGGACCGTTCGACAGTCATCTTGATGTACCACAGATGATATCTAAGAGCGACAAATCGGAACTATTTCATATCAAGGATATGATGAATCGAAAATTTTCGGAAGGCAACGAAACGCACCACGATTTTCGCAAAAATATTTCGGATGAAACGAAATATTATCATACCATATCCCATCATCATTATCAAAATCAATTAGATCCCCTGACAGAACCACCGCCGACCCTAAAAAATAATTTTGCCAATTCTACCGTTCCTCAAGAATTGGGCTATAAAAATGACCACAATGGCTATGACATTAATTCTTTTAAAGACCAAAATGGAATCTATTCTAATCACTTACCCAATGGACCTTACTTCGGCCTGAATTATAGACATAATGTTCAACACAAATTTCCAGGATTCAATAATAACTTCCCATCCACCACGACCTTATATAATTATAACTTAGGCCATACTAACGGTCTCAAACAAAAGTCGGACTTCAAAAATAAATCTCGTTACGATTGTTTTGCTGATTCTAACATCGTATATTCACAAGATAACTTCCATTCCAACAAAAATCTCGTCAATAACCATATCATTCATCAAGTATCACCGAACGATAAATATCAACCTTACAATCCAACTAATGGTATTTATAATTCTCCTTATCACAAAGTAACAAACGTTCCGTATTCGCTTCCTCAAATCTCCACGGCTACTAAGCATCATAAATCTGAAGTAACTACTAAGAACGATTCATTTGATGTGAAGCATTCAGTGCAACTCGAGAGTAATATAGTTCAGAAGGATTTAAACAATTCTTATCTGACCGGTGATCAAAGTTTATCCAACAATTATGAATCCTTAGATCTAAGTGAGTTAAGCTTCTTGTTTTAAAAATAAATTATATTCACACTTATGTAAATTATTTATAATACTAAACGAAAAAATAAATAATTCAATTATTAGATGAAGAAAAGCCCAAAATCAATAACAAGCATAAAAAATTGAGGAAACCCCGAACAATATATTCCAGTATCCAATTACAACAATTAAATAGAAGATTTCAGAGAACCCAATACCTCGCTTTACCTGAAAGAGCTGAATTGGCGGCTACATTAGGATTGACCCAAACACAGGTTTATAAATAGCTATCTATAAATATAACCATAATTTAATTATATATATTTAGAAAAATTAAAAGTTTTTTAAAAAAAGTGTAAATAAATCTTTCCCTTTTTTTAACGAAATTATTTATATAACTGGGTGGCACAAAAAAAACGTTACGTTTCAATAAGACTAATTTATTTTTGGAATTTGATCAAGTCGGTTTTTGAAAAATTAAGATCAAAGATGCTAAAATTTGACAAAATATAACTCAAAACTTTCGATTAATTTATTCCAAAATAGACTAGATGGGATTTTGTTGTATTATAGCCGAACCCTAGCCCTTTTTAAACATATTTCCCAATCATAAATTAAAATACAATACAAGATATTTGAGTTATTAAACGCCCTTTTAACATCCAAAAAAAATTAAGCTTATTGTAAAAAAAATGTTATCAAAAGAAGTTCTTATTCTGATAAAATGAGAGAAGCAAAAGAAAAATTGGAATGCATCAAATTTGATCCTAAATTTCCTAAAATAGTGAAATCGTGCAGTTCATACTTATTCGGAAAACTAAATTTATTATATTATCAAGGTGTGGAACGAATTAAAAACTTCAAATCTTTAGTCAAACTTGAAAGAAAAATTTTGCTTGTGTTTTGCCTTAAAATTGATGGTTTAGAAAATATTTTATTACAGTGTTCAGCTACAATTCAACATAATTGGAACCTCTCTTGCCCGTTTTTAAGAAAAAAATGGCACTTGAGTTATTTTTTGTCAAATTTTAGTACTTTTTATCTCAGTTTTCTTAAAAATGAATAAATCAAATTTTTATAAATTCTATGGATATTAAGTCCCATACATTCTTTAAAATATGGAATATGATTCTTGAAAAAGAGTAATTTTTAGGGTAATAAGGATTTCAAAACTAGATTTTTTTGAGTCACCTAGAATATTGGCTAGAAAAGTAAGTATATAAAAATCTCTGTAGGTAAAAAGTCCTACAATTCTAGTCCTTCTTCTTAGTGTGTCCAGATAAGAACTATTTTTAAATGGTTAAATAATGTAAGTTTCCTTATTATTTTAAGATCACTAATATTTTTTTAAACAGGTCAAAATATGGTTCCAGAATCGGAGATCTAAATACAAGAAAATCATTAAACACAACCCTTCTAGATCCGATGATTCTCCGTCTTCCGATATTAATGAGGATTCGGAGGAAATGAAGAATATTCACGATGCATCATCTCCCATTTCCTCTTCCGATCATCTTAACGCGTCCTCTGACAATTATAACGATTTTGATAATTCTAATAACAACTTAACGCAAATGAATCAAATTAATCCATTTCAAAACCGCGAACAGGGATTACACCCAAACGCTGCTTACAGCCATTATCCCCCATTCGTTTATAACAATAACAGGCCAGAATATGCCAATGACAACATTGAATACAATAAAGAAATTTCACCAGATACCGTCACAAACGTTATGGGTTCGCCACCTTTTTCGCTTTACAACATCGATTGTGCAAGAAATCACGTTAATGAAAACATATTGGCGAATATGGATGGTAACAAATACTCTATGGGTTCTCCCGTCAACTCATTACTCTTAAATCAAAATCAAACTTTTCCAAAACTAGATAGAATAATGTACGCACCAAACATCACAGATAACCCTAAAAACTGTGTAGCGAGATATGATCCGATGAGCTCCATGGTTCAATACGATCATCATAGCCTTCCCAAGTCTCTGACCAACGATAAAAGGATCATTGCTTGTAATATGTCAAATCTAACTACTAATATATCCAATCAAAATACTATAGTCGAACACCAAATAATCAAGAAAGAGCGGATTTTAAACTCTGACAGCTTAAGTAATAATAACGCGCATGATAATAGTTATGATTTAGCCGCCCTAAACGAATCATCATCACTTACGGATACTTCCCTAAATTCGTTGGAAATCAACGAGGCCTGTAACCAGGATGTGAGGAATTATACCATTCACGAACAGCAAGAAGATTATATTCTGCAAAATAATCGCATGATAAGAGATCTCAAAGCTAACTAATAGTATTATGTAATATGAATCAAAAAAGTTAAATACAAGGAGGAAGGAAGTTTATTGGCTTAAACTTAGTCGTTAATTTTATTTATTAACTCAATTGAAATTTGTTTAAAAACATTAGTGCACCAAGAAAATTTTGCAAATGTGTGTATATGTATATAATATAAAATTTGAACATTTTTTCTAAAAAAGAAAACAACCCGCTTGGCTAAATTTCGTACTTACCTTATTTATATATTTTATATACTATTATACATATACGCTATTTCAATAAATTAAATTATTTAATAATTTGGTTACTTATTTAATATACACATAATCAAAAGAATAATAAAAAAATTATTTTATAGGCCGTTACTTTGAATAATATAATGTTTAGTAATCGGTTAACCGATTTTCTGTTCGATACTTTTTGCTTTAAAGTATTAGTAGCTTATGGATTTTTGAGAAAATACTATTGATTGCCTAATTTTTATTTATAATCTCGACCTAACAAATGTATTTGTAAAATTAAATAAAAAATAAAATCATACTAATTTAGAGTTGAAACATTTTTTTAATTCTCAAACGGTTCCTATTATATTATATAACCAGAATAAAACTTGTTAATACGTGGTTTAGGTATTTACATATTTATAGCCATAAAAAAATTTTGGTCTGAAAATATTTAGACATAAACTAAACCTAAATAACAATAATTATATTATACTCGGGATCAAAAAAATAAAAACTTTATATTACTGCCACGTTTCAGCTTAATTTTAAATAATTATAACATGTCTCACTTGTAAATTAAATAACAGAGGTATAATATAATTAAAGAGACCTTTGATTTCTATAAAATAGATATTTTAAAAAAATTAGATTTTCAACTATTTTGTCGTTGTTGTCTACTTTGTTATAATAATAATACTATAAAACGCTAAAATAAAAATAAAAAGACCCATCAATATAGAAGGGCTTATGTAATATATATTATTACGAAATATCGTACCTATCTATACATTTTTAAGTCACCTGCCACCATATAATTTTTATATATTACTTTATTATTATAAAGAAATCTTTTAAAATAAAATATGGCAAATTTAAATTAAAAATTTTTTTTTTAAATAAAAAAATATCTGGGGAGCGGCTTAAAAATAATATATACATTTTAAATAAAACGAGACTCTAGCATCTGTATTATGAATAAAATCTTCTTAGAATATCTTCCAACTTTTAACTCTTCTAGGACCCCTTAATAATAGTGGATTTAAATTCCTAATAATATTATCAAATATTTTCATAATATATAAATTTATAATTTCTTTTGATGATAAAAGAAAAAGTAGATTTAATTTAATTTGTCTTTTTAAAGGGAAATAGAATTATTTAAAAAAATATATATTTCAATTTCAAAGAATATAAAGCCATGCCATTCGCATCTAAAAAACTATACTACCTCACCTTTAAAAAAAAATACAGTTTTATTATATTTATAATATACTTAAATATACAATAAAATAAATATATATTTTTTTGCATATATTAAAAAACGACAAAATGAAATTTATGCTAATGAACATCTTGAACAAAATAAATATATCATAATAAAATTATATCACGACTTTAGAAGAACATAATACCTAACATCATATAATAACAAAATACATTGGAAGATTTATTTACTACCTTTATTAAACAATATTTAAAAAAATTTTTTTTAAATGTTAAGATTCTTTGCTTTTATCACCAATAAACCAACCTCACCACCACAGCTGTAAGGAGGTTTTATTTTTCTAAAATGATATTGTATAATTCAATTTATTTAATATAATGTATAAATTTCATATAAAATCATAATATATAATGGATATTGTGAAATATATTAAAATATATCTTAAATAGCGGTTATGGCCAAATTATTTTAAGTTAATAATGATATGTACAGAAGGGAGATCTTCCCCCACCCCCTTCCAGAACTAAACGAAATTGTGGCAACTTTGCATAAAAAATTTGAGTTTGCGCTAAATATTTTAGGACCAAGTCCCGCCAATACGGATTTTTTGAATTTATTTTAAACCTTGAATATAATGTAAATTATGATTTTTAAATATAAAAGGTAATTACGGGCGGGAAAATTATGCAAAATATTTTCTGGGGGCAGTTAGAGCTGAATCTACGGGCAGGGTTATGAACTTTTTTAAAATTTTCACCAGCCGAGCTGTGCTGATATCTGATACAGGAGTATCATATCAAAAAGTATTTTAGTAATATTAGATGGGTCCAGATTGTCGGACAAAGCATTCTCATCCAAGACGGTCATGCTTATATTCTGGGCCCTGAACTCGCCAAATTTTTTTATTTTCTTAATGTTTTTATATTCGCTTAATATTTTGGGGAAAGAATAAAGGATCATAGGGGGACTAGCTAACCGCATTAACTTTTTATTTTATGAATTATTTTGTTCTAAAATTTCTTAAAATGTGTATTCTGTTTATAACATACCCTGTTGAATGCAAATCTTTTTGTATGGCGAAGAATTTAAAATTTATAATATTTTATTTAAATAGAATACTTATTAAATCATATTCACAGAAAAATCGGAAAATGCTATAAAAAATCATAACATACGAAAATAAGTGTCGTTTTTGAAACGGGATTCGTGAATAAGCAGCTTAGAATATGAATTATGTAATATTTATATAAATATTATAGATAATTGAATTCGCTAATATTAAGCATAATTTATGATTTTATATTTTATTTTAAATTACCTGCTTCATGTTTAAAAATAGTTTAATTGGTTCACCCATCTGTAAGGGCCTGTCTATGTTTGATAATAGATAAGTAGAAATCTAGCAAGAGGAAGGGCTATCTTAATCGTTTATAAGATCCTTACTCAAGATTATAAATGCCAATTATTCCTTTTTAAATATATAATGTTTAAAATAGTTCTTAAATTATAGGTTTTTAATCAGAGTTGTTAAACGCTACTTTTAAAAGTAGCGCGCTACCGCTATCGCTATTTGTCAAAAAAAGTAGCTAGCTATTAGCTACTATTTTTTTAAAGTAGCTTTAGCTACTTTTTATAAAAAAAATTTACAAACAAATTTTTTATTTTTTGCTTATAATGTTATTGTATAGTAAATATATAAAAATCAACATTTATAAATATTAAAATATAGTTAGTTTTGATTATAAAAAAATTTATGTAATAAAAATAAATATTTATGGTAATTTGTTGCATTTTGATAATAAAATCATTTCAATATTATCATCTCCAAGTCTAGAGCGACGATCAGAAAGTATAAGTGTTGCCTTATTAAATAATCTCTCGACACTAGCACTTGAGGGTAAGGGCGTATTTAATCTTATATACATATTTTTAATATAAGATAGATTATCAATAATTTTATTTGCAAGTACATCGTATGTCTGGCATCCTATTATCATTTTGAGGGCTAATGCCACAGATCTTCTTTTTAAAGTTCTAGGGTCTAACCAATGGGCTGTGATTCCAAAATAAGCTCAAAAATATTTAATCAGATCAATTTATAAATATAAATAAATTTTTACCTTCAGTTATGTCATCAACTATCTACCGTGGTACATATATATGATATCTCTGATAACTCTACTATTAGTGCATCTTTCATAATTTTAAAGTTATATGCTATTTTATTCATTAGTGTCTGGCGGCATAATCATCATGGTAAATGATGGATTATCAACTAAGGACATTGGCTGAACTGTATAAATTATAAAATCAACAATAACTTTAACAGCCAATTTCTGAGAAATATTGTCATTTGCATTATTAATTAATTTGGTTTGAAATGAATTAGTCTTTTTGGAAGAGTCGCCTATACCAAAATTATTTAGATGTTTCTCCATTTCCTTAAAACACATGAACAGTCATATAAAATAAATATTATTAGAATGTAAAAATGACAATTTACCTTTATCTTGAGGGTATAGCTACTGGATTGATTTGAGGAAATATTTTTTTTTACATTTTAAACAAATAAATTTGAAACCAGTTTTGGTTATATATTTATTTAAAAAAATTTTCAAATCTAGGGAATGGGAAATTTGTATTATAGCTATTAAGAACATTTTCTTCCCTGGTATCTTCCATTTCATTAATATCATTGTCTGAATCACTTTCAACGATTTGGATATCCATAGGCGATGAAATTTTAAATTATTAACACGTGATTTAGGTTTATAATACAAATGAAAATATAAATTACAAATTGAAATTTTATTTTAATTTCAAAATTAAATAATAAATCATAAAAAATATAATTAATTATGATATTATATTTGAATTTTCATGTTTACACTACCTTCATTATATTTTTTAAAAGTAGCGAAGTAGCGGCTACTTAGCTACTTTCAAAAAATGTAGCACGCTAAAAAATTAAATAATTACAAAAAAAGTAACCGCTATTAGCTATAGCTACCAAAAAAGTTAGCGTGGCGTGCTACTTTAAAAACTCTGCTTTTAATAATTGTCTTTCAGGAATCCTAACCAAAATTAATATGGGTTCACATAAAAATGACGCTTCAGCAGGCGCGTACGCAGTGGGGGGAGACAGGGGGACAAATCCCCCCCCCCCCCCAAAGCCAAAAAATGCAGATGCCGGATTATATTTTTCAAAAATATTATTGTTAATATTCATTTATATTTGTTAATATTTATTCTTATCTCATATATACATATATATATATATATATTTAATTACATTTATTTATCACATTCATCTACTAAGTTATTTTATCAATCAATTTCGTTTCAAGTTTTCCTTGGCGTAATTTACCTATTATTTTCAAATTTTAGTGGCGTAATATTTATCTAAATTTCTAATAAAATAATAATTATCTTTGAAACTCCTTGTCCAACAGGGAGAAAAAAATTGCAAGCTTGTGCAACGAGATCGAGTCTCCCCCACAGTAACAGCTATTTTGGAGTTAGAAGAGCTGATTATTAATGCAATTACTGAAATATCACAATGGCTTGAAAGAAATATTTCCTCAGAAGCAAGAAAATTTTTGGATTCAATACTTATTCCAAATTTTTTTTCTCATTAGAATGTATTATTTAATTATACAACTATT